ACAGACACAGGCTACTCAGCAGCACAAGCTCTTCTCCAGAGGTCACAAACACTTCTCCACAGGTCTTCCAAAGTCAGACCTTGGCTATGTAAGTCGAGCATCCAAGAGATAACACCAGATTCCAAAAGGAACCACGTCACCCAGCAGCTTGGTACCAGTCACACTCACTTTGACGTTTCAGGTCAGTAAAGAAGTTCAGATCCCCATTTTTACCCACTACTACCTATTTTGCTTCTGCTTTAGTGTTATAGAAAATTTTGCCTGCCCACCTCCATAAAGACAGTGCACACACTATGAGTAAGTGCTATAAACAGAACTATCAAGAAGTTGAACACATAAATTTCAGCAGTTCCACCTGATATGGAGCATCACAGAACAGCTGGATTATTTCCTTGTAGTTATTTTCACAAGGTCAGATTAGTATGAAGTTTTGTGTTTATACAGTTTGGGAAATTGTGATTAACAACTTCAAAACCCTTCTGTGCCACTTACATTTATCAATTGCTTTCCCCTCATTACAACTTTCTAGTTAATAAAAATATTTGTTTACCCCATTGAAACCTTGTGAGAGCACTAGAGATGCAGACAGTGCATCTATGAGTCAATAAATGTCTGCACCATGATTTTTGCTGCCATTTTTGCTGGAATGCCATCGATAAGTGAACTTAGTCACATCATGACCTAGTGACTAATTTCAAAGGCATTTTACAAAGGCAGCAACTGATTAGAGGGTTGTTACTTTGGAGTTAAAACTTTACCATACCCAGCCTTATGAATAGGAGATGTATACAAGAGTCAAGAATGTGTAATTTAATCTCTCAATCCACGGTTCAACAGTCTCCATGTAAGCTACCTTGTATTTCCTTACAGCAGGCAAATTATAAATGGACCTTGGCCTGCAGACTACTGCAGTATCTTTACAAGTTTGAAGCATATTTTTTTAATGCATTGTTTGAGAGATTACTGTTCTGTTTTGGAAGACCTGCCCAGTTATAAAAAAGATTAGGTTCTTAGTCCACTCTGATGGAGTGTGGCTCAGGACATCGTGACAGGATATGGCAGAAAAACCTACACAAGAAGAATGATCAGGAGCACAAACAGTGCTTCGAGAGGAAAAAAAAAAAGAAGGAAAGGAATTGTAAGAAGGAAAAGAAAGTAGAATTAAAGAGTCACTGCATGCAGAGTTTGCTGACCAACGCAGTTTACTTCTGAAAAATCCCCCTTTATTACCAGAAGCGCGTTATTCTTTTAAAACTCATTTCACCCTGCGTTTAGGCAAATTAGGAGCAATTCTCATTAAACTTCCTGGGCAGGCACCACGCTCGGGGGCTATGAAACTTGTTACTTTCCACACCTACCGAGGACAAGCCGGTAAAGACACCACTCAAAGCCGGAGAACTTTTACTACTCGGTTGGAGGTGATGCCTGAAAGCACAAGCTATCTGCAAGAGCTCCCAGTGCAAGCTTCATCTTGCCCTGTCACTCCCTCCTCCCTCCCTCCCTCCCTCTCTCCTGGCCCGAGCCGAACGAGGAAGTGGAGCCGGGCGGGCGGGCGGAAGCCAAGCCCATGGCGGTGGCTGCAGGAGGGCTGTCAGCCCTGACAGCTGCCCGGCGGCCCCTGCCCGCTGCCCCCGCGGCCCGGGCAGCGGAGGGGAGGAGGGAGGGAAGGAGGGAGGGCCAGGAGCCGGCCCCGGCGGCCAAGAGCGCCGAGCACCCACCCCACCTGCGGGGGCCGGTCCCGGGGCGTGCGGGAGCGCAGCGGCAACTCCGCGGGCACGCACGGCCCCGGAGCACGGGGGGACACGGGAGCACACGGCACGGCAGCTCCCGCGGGGACGGAGCGGCGGGACAGCGGCAGCCTTCTCGCCCGGCCGGACAAAGAGGCGCCAAACCCGGCGAGGGAGAGAGGAAAGCGCGGCGCCAGGGGGGACAAACCGGAGCCACCCGCGCCCACCGCCCCGCCCGACTGGCTTCACCTGAGCCCGGCGACGGTGGAGGGAAGGAAACGCCGCGGCGGCGGCTGCGCTCCTCACGGCAAGAGTGCGGCGTCCTCCGGCTGCGGCTCCTCCCGCGGCACCGCGACCGCCGCTCGCTCACCGGCTCTGCTGAGCCGCCCGCCCGCCCGGCGTCCTCCGGCTGCGGCTCCTCCCGCGGCACCGCGACCGCCGCTCGCTCACCGGCTCTGCTGAGCCGCCCGCCCGCCCGGGCGGGGCCGCCCCGCCCCCGGCGCCGCCGCCCGCCAATGGCGCCGCCGCTCCCGAAGATTGACGGCCACGATGACCAATTAGAGCGGCCGAGGTGTGCGGAGGCTGAGGAAGCCGTTGAGCCGTTAGCAACGCCCGTGCGCCCCGCCCGGCCCCGCCCAGCTCGGCACCGGGGCCGCTCGGGCGGGGAGCGCCGGCGGCGGCGGCTGCGGAGTTTCGGGGGCACCGAGAGCTCCACCCCGCCGGCCGCAGATCGGGTAGGGCTCCCCCACTCGATCCGCTCGGGTTGAGCCCGGCCGAGCCGCCCCCACAACGCCCCACGGCGCGGCAGCCCCACAATGCCCCGCGCCGGCCTTTGGTGCTGCCGAGGGCAGCGGGTGCGGCCGGGAGCGGGAGCGGGGCTCTGTGGGGTCCCGAGGCCGCGCCAGAACTCCCCCGAGATCGGGGCTGGGGCTGCGGGTGTCCCGGCCAAGGGGTTCCCCCTGAGCCTTGTTGTAGTGCCAAATACCTGCAGCAGGAAGATGACAGTCAAAATTTACTTTCAGGGTCAGTTAGGTTGGAAAAGGTCTCTGAGATCATCGAGTCCAACCTATGACCGAGCGCCACCACGTCAACCACACCACGGCACTGAGTGCCACGTCCAGGAATGGTGACTCCCCCACCTCTCTGAGCAGTCCATTCCCATGTCTAATCACTTTCTGTGAAAAAAAGCCTTTCTAATGTGCAGTCTGGCTCAGCTTGAGGCCATGATCTCACCCTGTCACTGGCTGCCTGCAGAGGAGGCTGACTCCCACCTGGCTACAGCCTCCTTTCAGGCAGTTGTAGGGATTGATAAGGTCTCCCCTGAGCCTCCTTTTTTCTAGGCTCAGCAACTGCAGGTTCCTCGGCTTCTCATAAGACTTTTCCTCCAGATCCTTCACCCAGGAAGGTGAAAAATCTTCTGTCCTTTCACTGGACTCTAATGGACAAAACTGAGGCAGAAATGAGTGTGAGCAGCCCCTGATGCTGCTGAGGTGTTTGAACAGCCAGTGCACATGCTCACAGAGGCCTGAAATGTACTTTAAAAGGCAGGCTGAAACACTGATGTGTGAAAAGACAAAGGTGGTGTAATTCTGCCTCCTTAGATTAAGTGGAACTTCAGGATGAGCTAAAGGAGGAAGCAATAGCCAGGATGCGAGACCAAAGTCCGTCTGAGAAGAGCACAGCATATCTAAATCCATATGTCAGATCCAGAAAAGCAGATAAGATTTACTGCACACTTTATGGGCATACAGAAATGCAAGGCTCCTTCCCTTTATGACTTCCTACTTTGTGCAAGGAGGGTACATTTGCAGATGTAGATGCCAGTGACAGAAGATACAAAGCAAAATTTACTGGTGGCAGTATCAAAGCAGAAGAGGCAAATTAAGTTAAAGAGGCTTGAATAAAGAGGGAAGTTAGTGGAGAAGTATCTATAGTAAGTGTTTCTTGTCTGAGTGAAACACTTAAGGCTTAGAAAGGTTCACTGCAGCAGTTTGGAAACGATCCTAGACATTTTTATCTCAAGACACAGAAGACAGTGGGAGAAATCACTGAAAGGTGATTCTACAGCTGAGTATCAGGGACACAGAAGTGTCACTGTTAGAGGCAGAGGTGAGAAATGTAAATACAGATGCAAAATACAAATGAGAATTTAATTTGGCCACGAGAAAGGAATATACAGGAATATACATCTTTGCTAGTACTTCAAGCTAGAAAATGAAAGGAAGCTGGAATTGTGACAGCTACTCACATAAACAGATAGCTTTGGATTTACTGTGAGGGTGATGAGGCACTGGCAGAGGTTGCCCAGAGAAGCTGTAGATGCCCCGTTCCTGCAAGTGTTCAAGGACAGAGTGGATGGAGTACTGAGTAACCTGGTCTAGTGGAAAGTGTCCCTGCTCATGTCAGGGGAGTTGAGACTGCCTGATCTTTAATGTCCTTTGCAACCAAAACCATTCCATGATTCTATGGTCAAACCAGTGGCTCATATTGAGCCATGAAAAAAAGTGACCAACATATGGAACAGATATTTCCTAGCTGAACAACATGGTTTTAAGTTCTCCCACAAAAATTAAGCAGAATGAAAATAGTGGAGGTAACCAAATATATCAAAAGCTTCTTAAGAATATGAGAAGCTGCATCATCAGCCATGTGTCTGAGAAAGGAAAGGTAAGCAAAGGAAAGCAGTCAGTATCAAGTCTAAACTGAGCTTTTAAAGGAGGAAAAGTAGCCAATCTTACTTAGGAAAGCAAGTACAAAAGGCACACAAGACATTTTTGAAGAGTGTATATTATTGGTAGTTTAAATTATTTTATTTTTCTCTGACTCTCACACGTATGTTCTCTCTCCTCCTAATGCTCAGATTTAAGACTAAGGTCAGACTGGACTGCCTTCTTAAGGTTTGGCACTTTTTTTTTTAAATATAAATCTAAGAACTTGGTCCCATTCCTGTTTAATTGATATCAAAACTTTCTTGATGGCTTCATCAGTAAAGCATCAAAACTGAGTTCAGAACACAGACTGGTACAGGTTTACACCATCCTCCTCCTTCACAAAAAGTGTATCCCACCTCTATAGAAAACTCTGTGTGTCTCATGGTCAGATTTGTAGATGTGCCATACTTGAGGCAAGTCAGATTTTCAATGTCTGTGTTCTGTAGCTTGATTACCTTGAAAACAAGTGCAATAGGTTTTTGTTGGCAGGATGTTACCCAGGAAAGGGGACACACCTCAGAGAAAAACATGACTAAAAGAGCTTTCGTACTGATTTTATACATCTGTTACTTTCTACAAATTCACAGGATGCTTATGTGGATCTTTCTGATCAACTTCACTCATATTTTCCATCAGTGTTTGCAAGCCAGCATGATTTGGAAGAACAAACCTGTAATGGTTGCTGAATTCTGGAAAACATCTAAACAGAAAACAGTTTTACCAGTTTGATGGGAATAGATTAATGGCACTGTGGTATTTCCAGAGGGAAACAAATATATGAGGCAGCAAGCATCCAGAGATACTTCACCAGCTTTTACACACCAGACAAAGAGCCACTTTGCTGAACTACAGTGTTTTCCCCTACACTGGTCTAATCCAAGACCAGTTTGGTCTTAAGTTTGTTGCAAACAAACTTTGCTTAAATTTGTTGGCAAACAGCAAGCCCTGGGAGAAGCCTGCACTTCATTGATCATCAATAAATGTAGGGACATTTAATTTTTGTATCTGAAAAACAGATAAAAATGGCCAAATTAATTTTGGTGAATAATTTTCAATGCTTTGGGGGGCAGAAAAAATCCTCTTCCAAAACTAGTTTCTTACTGACAAGATGGAGAGAGTGAAACAAGAAGAGTGACAGAGACAAAAGGTGTTTACTCCATGGAAGGACTCACATTGCTAAACTCTAACCACAGTGGCTTTAGACAGAAACCACACATGTACAGATCTGGAGAATGTCACAATCTGGTGTTGCTAAGAAGCCTGAGCTCTGCTTTTGCAAAACTCGAAACCTTAGTTGTTTCAGTGCAGATTCATAATTAGAATTTCTTTAGAGAAGCAGCTCTGAACTGGCTTTAATAGATACACACATACAAAGCAGCAGCTATAAATGCAGATGAGAACTTGAAGCGTTTTCAGGTGCAAAAGGAACTGGCTCTTTGGAAGCAGGTCTGCGGAAGAAAGTCACTTATGTCTGCGGACTTTGTGCCTCTGAGCAACCTGAAATTTGTCTGCAATTTAAGCACCACGCATTAGCACATAACTTCCTTTTCCCTTTATACCAATTCTTTATTGTTCTCCTCCTAAACCAAATGCCAGATCCAAACTGTGAGAGTGCGAAAGGTGGAAAGCCATCTTAAGAGATGTGGAAGGAGTGAAAGCAAGTGATGTTTCCCCTGAGGGCTGGGAGGGGTGTGTGTGTCAGAGAACAAGTAAGTGAAATGTGTCCCGGCTAACCTGTCTCAGAAGCAGCCAGGAGCAGATGTCAGGAGGAGAGTAGTCCTTTTCTTTCAGAATGATGTTACTCTTGGCAGAACTACCCATCTTCCGGCATGGCTGTAGAAAAGGCAAGGCTTAATTTGCTCATTTTCGCATGGCAAGGTGCAATTCCATCATGCCCTCTTCATCAGCAAAACTGGTTTAAGGTGTTGCCTATTCTCCCACTAGACATTTGGTTTTAGTGCTGTGACATAGCTTACCACTGCTCCAGCAGTGATGGTGAAGATATTTAAAAAGTCATATTGTACACTGGATCACTGAAGAACAGCTAAAAAAAGAAGGTCAAGAAAAAAAGATCAGTTCACTGATCTAGTTTATAGGCCCTCAGAGAGAGGCATCAGCACAACTGAGGCACTGTGATGGGAGTTTTTTTTAATTGGCTTTGCTGATGGAGAAAATTTAAGAAGGAAATATATGTGCACCCCAAGACAGGGGAGGAAGGGAGGAGCTGTACCTGGCATACTCTAGCATTTAAAACACTTATTCTATTCTTCACCTCTCCCCAACCCTCCACCCACACAGTTCCACGTGAACAACCTGCTGAGCTCCTGCTCTCTCATTGTAGTTCTTGCTTCAACTTTAGTAAAAGAGGAACATGTTTTTACTTTCTCAATACATTAATGACAAGATCTGCTGCTGAAAAACAAACCATTTACATACCAGTGGTCATTTGGGATACCATTCAGAGGCACACTTCTCTACCACTGTACTGCAGTAAGTATATTTATCACATGCCAGAGTCCTTTCTTTCAATAAAATGCAAATGACACAATCCTGTAGAAAGGACCCTATTGGGGAAGCAGGTTATCAAACAGCTGTGCTCTGAAGTCATGAAATATCCTCAGAAACACACCTAGATGAAAACTTCTCTCTGAGGCAAAGTCTTCTTGGAGCTTGTGAGTTCCTCCAGTCCCTGAGATGAGATTACAACTCCATTTGGCATGGTTACAGACACCACATTCCTGATCTGACATAGTAAGAATAATGGCCCAGAGCTCTTTACATCCAAGAGGTACCTCTGCCATTTAAATGGAACCACAATGCTAAGCAACAGACATTTTTTAGTTCATTATATCCTCTTCCAAATGTGTTTCCTCTAGCCCTGTTCTCTTGCTGCTCACTATGTTCTAGTCAGTTTTAAATTCAGAAAAGCTGGTATCCAACACCAGTATACAAAAGGGCCAACACGAATACAAGCTATCCCGCAAAAGAATCTTTGTCCCAAAACTCAGTTTTGGAACTCAGGAATCTGAGTTTCCTGCCTTGGACCTACCCAGACTTGTCCTAAATGCCAGCAGAAAACATCCTGTTATCTGCCTTAAGAAAAGCACAGTAACTGTGGGACTTTTTTTTTCCGGTTGGTTTTGTTTGGTGGGTTTTTTCCCCTGAAGAAAACAATCATTTTCACAGCATCTGTTACACCTTAGCTCCTTCAGTGATAATTCAGCAAGTACAAAATTTTAGGCTTGTCTGCCCTGGCCTCACAGCTCCCCTGCTCAACAATTGCTAAGGAGCCTTTATTAACATCTCAAATACCTCCTTTTCCTTCTCTGTTTCTCAGAGGGGTAAGAAATGCTTCAGATTCCTGAGTTCAGAAGGGCTTGGGGGCATTCCTCTTAGCAGAGAAAAGTTGAAAGGAGAACAGAATCCTGCCCTTCTGTCACCCTGCACCTGTCATGCTTATGACAAGCCAGGCTTGGGTGAGGTACTGATAAGGAAAGTACACTTTAGAGAGACTGACAAATCCATCTAAACTCTGTTTAATTCACTCTGATAAGGTAGGGCTGTGGAGAGCTTTCTGCCACCTTTGCTTCTATTTTCCTTCTGAAGGTCTCAGGCTGGACCCTGTTTTCACAGAACCGAGAATTCAGTAGCAGAGTGATTGTGTTATAAAAAAACAGGACTTGGTTCTGTGAAAACATAAGAGTCACAGCATTTAACTACTTCACAAAATTTATTCATTGTTTTAATTGCTTTTCAGCATCAGCCACCTTTAACAGACCTCAAAACAAAAGGCATCTAGTTGAATGTTCACTTCCCTCTTCCAGGATGAATTTTATCACCCTTTTTTTTACACCCTCCTTACAAAAAACCAAGAAAGCACCCCTACTTTCAGCTTGCTGCCTTTCCCCAGGTTACTGTGTGAGATTCTTCTCCACTAATGGTGCCTCTCAGTTTATCCCATGTCTGCTGTTTGTTTTTGGGCTCAGTCTGCTACAGTAATCAAGGCCAAATATTTGCTCAAATGAAGTGGCCCTGTGGTTCTCATTTCAGGAAGCTGGCTGAGGACAAAGTGAAACTAGCTTGAAATTCTCTAGTATGCCCAAGAGATGTTAAGAGCAAGGGATTTTTCCAGTGCTGTAGAAAGTCATCCAGATTCCCACTGTAGCTTTGTTGTGGGAACTGCAGGGGAACTAACTAGTTTATAGCCTTGCCCCAATTAAAGACACCACTTTTATCTGCCAGAAACCAAAGTTGGTCCAGTCAAAACCAAACTTTGGGATCATTCTGTCAGGCTACAACCAGAAAGAAGACCCAACGTTCATTCTCCCTCTTCTGCAAGGCTGAAGTCCACATTTTTCTGATAAGAGGAGGCTACATCCTTTGTGCTTGCAAGTCAGTGGCAGGTCTTATAAACACACCCACAGATTCTCAGCATAACATATTGCAAGCTCTGTGCATCTGGAGCCCGTGCATGCTTTGCTCAACAACCCCCCTTTAATTTCTGCCAAGATTCCCTCCCACATTTAGGACTTTTTTTCCTGCTCCCTTGAGAGCCTCTTCAATTCTCCCAGCTCCTCAGCTTCCTACTGTAAGCACGGATTGTTCTGTATGGCTTTGCTGGTCTGCTCTGCCTTTGGGAACATATGGAGCAGTGCAGGAAGCTGGGCACAAAGATCTGTGCATTACCCTTATTCTCAGCCCCGGGTTTGGGTCAGGGGGATGGACCAGAAGAGTGAACTGACCGTGCTGACACAGAAATTCACCAGGACTTCCTGAGGCATTAGCTTTGTAGGATGTGAGACATTGCCAACACAGATACATGAGGTGCCATCACTGTGGGAAGCCTCCTTTCAGATGAGGTGAAGATGAGCTCCATTTAACACAGTCACCCTTCTCTCCCATTTATCAGATCATCATTTCCTGGGATTACTCTGGAACAAAGAAAGCAACTCACTGGGCGTCCTGTGTGTTCTTATAACACACCAATTCTGGTAAAAAATCAGTAACTCACTGAGGAGTAGCAGATTTCTGAGCTGCCCAGGCTAGCACCTGCTCTGCAATTTCTTAGCTACCAAGAGACAGGAAAGTGTTAGAGGAATCAAACCCGCAGGACAGAGGTGCTCAGGGACTTCTGGAATTCCTTCAGGTGAAGTAGCAACTTGTGTTAGGCCAAGATGTAAGGAGTCTTGCAAGCACTGCTGCCTTCTTGCACTGCACTGGTCCCAGGGAAGAAAGGAAGAAAAAAAAAAAAAAAAGGAGGTTAAAAGGTTTTCTGTGGAAGAGAATATTATGAATATTATTTGGACTTTGAGTTATAAACCCAAGCATGACACAGACCTAAAACACAAAATAAGGTAGCACTGCTCTCTTCTACCTAATGGGGTAAGTTATTCAACCTGTGGTAAATCCTGTCCTCTCCCTCCTTGAATTTTTGTTTGTACATAAAGTTAAAGCACCCTTAAGCCTCTTACTGCTCTACCACGCTCCTGATTACAGCTGCATCTAACCCTGAGCTTGAAACACACACCTATACCTAAGTTTGCAGCTAATTGTGAGACTGCAGAGGCCTGTAATTCTTTGACTCTTTATAGAGGAATGTACATGTATAAAAGCCTTTTGAATTTTCATAAGCCACCCCTTAGATGTGGGATAGCAAAATAAAAAAAGATGAAAACAAGATGCTCACCCAATGATTCAGCTTTCCTGCAAAGTTTCTTCAACCAGCCATCATAACCCTGAAAATAATCACCCCAGCCCATTTTTCCTGTGGGCTAAAAACACATCAGCAATGAGGATCATAATTTAAGGGTTTTTTGTTGCTACTAGGAACTAATGAGAAAGAGCTTTGCATTACATGGAGAAAAAGAATCACATGCAGAAAAAGAAAGCGAGTATGTGTATGTTTGGTATTGTTGGGTTTTGGTTTTTGAGGATTTTATTTAATTTTTTTTTTTTTTAGTTTAAGGAATGCTAAATCAGGCTTAGCTTTGCTAGGGGACATACCAGCTGTCTCCAAGCTCTTTTTATGATGATCTCTCTTGTACTTTAATTGAGAAAGCAGGGTGTGGAAGTTTCAACAAAGGCTCCCCTTTGTAGTGTGTTAATTAGGCACAGGAGTTAACAAAACCCCTCAGTTATAAACAATTACCTTTCCCCAGGCTTACTTTCATTTTCCTGCTATTGCATTTTTACTAATTTTCTATTAGGTTTCCAGAGTGGACAAGACTAATTTCTAAAATTAGTTTTCTAATTAGTAAGGAAAAAAAAATCCAAACCAAACCCAAGTAGGAAAATAAGTAAGGGAGGAGGAAAAATACCACTATAATTAGAAGTACTTAAAGATGCATATTTTTTTTGGTGCTTCTTCAGGACACAAGAGACCAAGGTCTTTTAAGTTCAGCGTAAAGTCCCCTCTAAAATTGCAAATGGAAGTGACTCTGGGTGTAAATGCCTGGGGATGTGAAAGAATGTGATTCAGGATTTGTGTGCCCTAAAATGATTGCTACCCTCACCCCTCCAGGAGGAGGAAAGAGAGGAAAGTGAGAATGGCTGCAGTTTCTCCGGACATCTCCTTGCGTGCCGGGTGCTGGCAGGCTGCTCAGCGTGTGCTGGAACTCGGGACACACAACAGCTGGGAAAGGAGCGGCCCCTGCCCTCCTCCCTGCCGGCGGTGACCTCACCCATTGGCACCGAGCTGTCCCCAGGGCAGCGCAGCCACCCAGGCTGGACAACCTCCTCCTCCTCCTCCTCCTCCTCCTGCCTCTGCCTCCTGCCGAGGGAAGGAGCAAACCCCAGGGGCTCGGGGCTGTCCTTCTGCCGCGAAGAGAGGCAGTCCCGAGGATGGAAAACTGTACTATGAGGATGACTGCTATCTTAACACCAAACGTGTTTCACCCTGTGTTAGCAGGAAACCTTTCACGCTGCTGCTCCCTAATCTTGTTTTCTGTTTAATTTCTGGAGAAAGGTCGAGCAAGGCATGTGAATCCATGGTATTGGAAGAAGCACGTTATGATTCAGTCTCCAGTCAGTGCCACACTTCTCTTGCTGCCTCTGATAGTGCTGTTTGCCCAACACCTTTACAACATGGAAGGCACCAGATACTCCAAGTTGTCTTTGTATCCAAGGAACTGCCCAGAAAGCAGGGGAGTAGCATTTCTGTGGGACTGGGGAAATAGTAGTTCTACCAACATTCCCAATGGAGGTTGCGTATCCCATCCTGCCAGCAGACTTGGAAAAGACTGTCTAGGGGGAAACTCATAATTCTTAGTGGCAGCTTCCCAAGCACAGCAGTTCTTATTGGGAACTTGCCTCTCCTCTCTGGAAGAGACTGCAAATAGCCTAGGGAAGATAGGCATTCCGACCTTTATTGCTGCACATCAAACCACTCTTCCCTTCTCCCTGTATTGCAGTAGCACAGACTGATTCTGAAGCCATGATCAGCTCTTGCTGCTTTCCCCAAAGAACTTTCAAGCTCAGTCAGACCAGGAAAACTCAGTGTGAGAGCGTGATGAGAAGTGAAGAAAGGCTGAGCGTGGCCTCAATGGCTGCAGCAGGTCTCGGGCAGGGAGCGTGTACAGGTCCTACCCTGAGTGACCAGGCAGTCAGGGAGCTGAGGACCCCACGGCAGCACACGGCTACTGCACGTAGGATGGAAAATGTTTAAACTGCTGGAGTTGGGGCCCACAGGAAACTTTTGGGAAGCGTGTGCTGGGTCTAAGACAGGAACCAAGAGAGTCAGTGTTTAAAATATGCACTGACAATGAATTGCTTCATTACTTAGAGAAAAATTGAGAAGGGGGAAGGGGTAAAACTCAACCACATCAGGAAACAGGCAAATAATTGTCTGACGGATACACCAGGTCTCCTGATTGCTGGTCTAAGACTTTGCTGCTGCTCAGCCCCCAGTGTCTTACTCATCATGATCTCCTTCCAGGAGACATCAAGGTCTTCTCTGCATTTAGGTATGGATCTCACACGCTGGAAAAGAAGCAAACAGAAACATAGGGCAGCTTGCAATTTTTGCTAAGTGTCTTATTTTGCCCTGATCTACTGTTTTGCATTCTCCTCCAACACCTTACCCTGTTCATACACCCAAAATCAAAGCATGAAAGTGACACCCTTCAAACCAAGGATACTTTTGGCCCTTGAGCTGCTGAAGAAAGACACGGGTGAACCACAGCCTCTCTCCTGCAGCACAGTTTGTAAAACAATTGAACAGTCCCAGGCAGGAGACTTTCTACAAAGGCCAAAGCAAGGAGTTGTGCAGGGCAGAGTACCTGCAGAAACTGGACCTCATGATCTGGACTTGCACATCCATGTGCAGAGACATGGGAAACACTGCCTTTCTGGAGCTGGAGTGGGGAGGGGAGCTCTGGAAGCTGCACGCAGGAAGAGCCTGACTTGGGAATAGCGAAGCAGGTAACAATCACACAACTATTTATGGCTCTTTTTCCTTGTGACAATCGCAGCCTTATAAGGGCAAGAGCGCTCCAGTCGCGGCAGAGCTGCGGAGGTGGAGCCTCCAGGGGCACTCCTGATGTTTGCTCCCAGGCTATCTGCCTGCCCAAGCCGCTGACCTCCTTCCCGGGAAAAACCCTGGGAACCCTTGCTGAATCCCAGCTGTTCAAATTTCAAACTACAAAACGCCTCGGCTCCCCTCCCCTTCTCCCCATAACTCCTACTAGCTGGAGCTGTGGTGAAGCAGAGACGTCTGCTTTTGTAATATTGTAGGCATCAGGGAGCACTGGGTTGGAGAGTGCCCCCACAGCCAACGTGGGAAACTTATTCTCATCTGGTTGTGACAGTACTGAGAACTGGAAGAAAAAAGAAAGGAAGAAAAAACAAACAACCCTCCCCATGGCCCCCCCAGCGTTGCTTGTTGGACACGAGTGTGTGAAAGGCTGCAGCTGGAAAATCTGGTGCACAAACTCATGTGCAGATCCTTTTGCCCATGGATGTGCTTCAAGAGCCCCCCAGTAACTTTGGCTGAGCTTCCAGTGTGTGTGTTGGGTTCTTACACATTTCAGCCCTGTCCAATCCACCCAGCTGAACTATGCTGGAAACGGTTTGCAAATAAAACTGAACATAAACATGCTGAAAATGTCACTGTCATCAGATAAGGTTGCTATGCACATTAAATTCCTGACACGAGTTCATTAAACCAAGGCCATGAAAAGTTAAGCCACATGCCTATGTTGCCTGGGATGGGGAAGAGGGTATGGTGAGTGGGGATTCAGGCTGTAAATTAATTTTTTTCAGCCTTCTACCAGCCCATAGCCATCACTCTGGTGTGACTCGATTTCTCCCAACAGGAGGGGGAAAAGAAAATAAAGTAGAATGTTACAGCACCCGCTTCCCTCCATGAATACTGGTGTGATTTGGGAAGGAGCAGGAGGCAAGGGTTAGCCATGACATTTGGGAGCTGTGGAAGGCTGGTTTTCCAGAGGGCAAAGCACACACTGACAAAGCCAGGCCTCAGCAGCCTTCACCAAAACTAGTCATATTCAGCACTGCAGAGGCAGTTCATCTCTGGACTATGAAACAGGCACTAAGAGCTTCCTCTACGATACACTTCTCGTAACTGGGGCTGTCCTTGACTTGCAGAAATGCCCGGGCTAGATGCTCCTACATGGACTTACCAGTTCTCAGACACCCCAATTTGCAGAAGTGCCAGATGTAATGACCTTCCCTACCACCTACTGAGTTGTTATAGATCTCACACCACCTATTTTAAGAGAGGGGCAGGAGCTGTGAGAGTGGTCCACAGATGGAAGTGATTTGAGGAGATACTCTCTCCTAAGCCTACAACACAGCCACCCTTTATCTTTTTTCTCTTTCTCAAGAAAGATGAGCTGTGCACACTTTGCCCGGGGATGAGCAACATGGGTTAGATTAGCCTGCAAAGGTGGAACATCGTGTTCTTGTCAGCCTTTCAAGGGTCAGGGTTGGGGTTTGATGACTCTGTAAAGCCAACCCAAGTCTGAGCAGTCTCTGAAGGAGGGTTATTCCCCTCCCTCCTCTGATCTTCACACTCCCACTGCCAGTCTCAGATGACAGCCAGCTGATTCAGCTGGAAACAACCCTGAATCAAAAGAAAGACAGATGTTTCCAGTTTGATAATTTCCTTGGTACAGTTGACTACATGCCTGCTACAGAGGTGCTGAAAATGCACAGTCATGAGCAGCCAGAACACAAGCTGCTCAGAAACTATGAGGGAATTGAAGTTCAGTAGAGACCAGAAAGCCTCCTTTTCAGGGATATTGTGAATGAATTTATTTCAGTTGTGTGGCTGGTCACAAGTGTTCTTACGGCATCCCACATGCAAGTGGTTGTAATGAGTATCTGAATTAAAGAATGTTTGCTATCAAATATGTACCATTACCAAAATCACAGCATCATTTAGCATAAGAAGTAATTTTGGACATCTCTAGGTCAATCATCTGCTTGGAGCAGGACCAGCCTTAAAGTTGGATCAGGGTGCTTAGGGCCATATGCAAGTGGGATTTGAAAAACTCAGAGGATGGCAAATCCACCATCTTTTCCCTCTTGTCCTTCCACTGAGCACATCTTTTGGCAATGAGGCTTTACCTTTCACATAACCCCCACTTGGGTAGTAGAAGTCAGTGGTTAGATAGTCCCCCTCATGAGCTTTCTTGTCCCTTTGCAAACCAACCCAGCTCCCTCAGACCCTGCCCGTGTGTCAGATGATGCAGTTCCCTGGGGCAGCTTCATACTCTGCCCTGGAGTTGCTCCAGTTTGTCAGTGTCCCTCTTGCAAATGTGAAGGACCATCCTGAGGCAGCCTGAGGAGGGAGAGCAGGTGTCTCTGCCTGCCTGTAGAAGCTTGAGTCTTCGAGTGAGTGTTGGGGTGTGCATGCACAGCACCAGCATTTGTCCGTGTGTGTACACAGCATCCCAGGGCAGCTGTGCATCCGCCTCTCGGGTAAATATTGATTCAGGGGTTTAGGTCATAAAAATGGGTGCAAATTCACTCAAGGCCCTGGAGCTGTGCTGGTTTTTGTGAGCAGAGCTTTCCTGCAGGTGTGGTATGTGAATGCCATCCACACTGAGTCCCAGGGACAACTGTGCATGGTCCTCCTGCAGCAGCTCTGCACCTTAGCAGGCACAGATCCTCCTTCCCATTATTGTTGGAGAAGATGTTTACAGTCAGGTTTAAATCTGGTCAGGTAGCTTCTTGATTACTCACTTCTCAGCTATTACTCTGCTTCAGTAACCCTGAAGCTCAGGGAGACAGGGTGTACCAGTCAGTAGCCACGTCTGGAAGACAACAGAAATAATTTTCTGCTCTGGTGATGTTGCCAGAGGGCAACACATCACTGCTGTGATGTCACGAGCATGAGGCACAACCTTCAAAGCATAAAAAAACCCACCCATTACTTGGGGAGCCAGCAGGTGTTTTTGAAGGAGTTAAGTGAAAAAGGGACACCTCAACACTTTTATCTTGCTGTCTTTGGGATATGGTAGGCAAAATGTTATATAACTGAATCAGCAGTGGCTTTTGGAATATTGGGATTCTGGCTTAATGAGCAATCCCTACGGTGTCTTCATAAGTCTTGGTACTGTGGTGTTGGTGGACTGGGCAGGGTAGACCTGGGCCAGTGACTGCCCCAAGCTACAGAGGCAGCAGCAGCAGAAGAAAGCCCTGAGGTGCTTGTTTTTAGCTGGCCACATCCACTCCTCAGTTTACTGCAGGAACTACATCAAGTCTCTGTCATAAAGAGCTTTAGTGCTGCAGCCCTGGGTGCTTGGATGCCTGACACAGAAGGAGAAGGGGTGTTGGGTAAAGATCTCCTTGGTGTTAATCTCCAGGCTGGAGCTGTAGTCTTCCAAAGAAGAGGAAAGGAAGCAATGTTGTTTGCTATGGGGAATGGTTAACAGAGGGTGAGGTGCTCAAAGGTCTGACCCAGATCGGAGCCAGGCAGAGTTTATTCCCCAGCTATAGAAAATTATTACAGAAATGCAATAAAACAAGGTTTTACTATAAGTCAAGGACAAGAATCATCAGCTGTTTGTCACCCAGCTCCCTTTATTCTGAAACAAATTAAGGACTGCTTATGTGGCATGAGGAAAAGATATTCAGGTCAGATTTGAAAGGCAGAATTTGTTTCAGGTATCAGCATCTCCTTTTGAGACCCTTTTGTAAATACCAAAAAGCAAGGCAGAGAGGTGAAATACAAACTCAGCTGATCTTCCCTATCAGCTCCACATCTGGATCTACAGGACCCAGCTGGGATCCCCTGGGATGTGTTGGGACAAGAAGCTGTGTCTGCACCACAGCACCATACATTAGAAGGCCCAAAATACATGCACAGCCACATGAGCCATGGGACCTTGTTCTCTGCCCAGGGCAGGGTGGCCAGTCCCGCCCAGCTTGGCAGCCTGGAGAACCTCACCAAGGCTTATCTGATTCTGTGCCCTCCTCCCTCCCCAGACGTACCCCCAAGGCCAGGTTTTCCTGCTTCACCCCAAAGGCTTATTTTTCTTATTTTAAAATAAACAGAGTTGTGTCTGTTTTGATTTCTAGAAGAAGGTTAGAGGGAGGTCAGAGCTGACATCTGGGCTGGAGATAACATTCCCGTCTAATTAGCAAGCCCTGGATAATGAGGGCCTTCCTGTCCCATCCCCCTGCCCTGATGTGAGAAAGGACAGCCAGCGCAGGCTGGTGCAGAAATGGGGCAAGAGAACACCCTGTAGGGCAGCATTTCATCTTCTAGTGTCCCCAGCCCAAGCTTGTGCGCTGCTGATAGGTGCCTGTGGGCGGCGGCTGGAGGCCACTCCTCCATCTTTATGAGGACACCATCTGCAGGTGCTCAGCCTCTCCAGACTCTTTCCAAGGCATTGGCCATGGCTTTCCAAAGTGCCAACTGTGCTGCCATTCACCTCTCTGCAAAGCAGGGTTTATGGATTTAGACACCCTGGGGACTACCTGTGCTGCTTGTGTGTGGCAAGAGAAGACCCCAGGAGACACAATATTGGTGGGAGACAGATGAGATGAGGACAGTGAGGTTCCCGAAGCATGGCTGGGCTATCTGCTGCCCTCCCCTCAGCGTAGGGAGCTGTACACTGGCAGTCCCAGCCCTGCTCTCAGGAACTGGGTCATTTATCAGGGCAGTGCAGCCCGCCGGGCTGACACGATGCAGCTGTTTGTGCACAGCAGTCCCGCAAAGAGGAAGCAGCCACGGCCGGAGCCAGCTTTGGCTGGGATGCTGGGCTTGGGGGAGGGAAAGGGGCAGAAGTGCTGAGGAGACCCAGTTTGTGAGGCTCCTGCCATCTGTAGACATAGCCCCCTGCAGCAGGACAGGGAGATGCTGGAATAAGGCCTGACTCAGCTGGGACAGAGGCTCCTCGGCTGAATCACTGTGCCTTCCCTGCAGCTCCCCCACTGTGGGCTGCCGGCGCTTTTGCAAAACCTGGGAAATTACAGGCGCAGGCAAGCGTGGCAGGGCGGAACTGCAGCCAGGCGCTCTCCAGGTGAGATTACCACAGCGGGCGCATCTGGTCCTTGGAAAACCCCGGCTGACACCCCTCAGCAGAGCTGGTGACACACCGGCCTCCTTGCCTCGTCAGCTCCATGGCAGAGGGATTTGCTGCCAGCAGCCTCAGATTCCGCCCTCAACGGAAATGCCACAGCCTGTTGATTCCTTGGAGAGAATGTGACCATCATTCCTGGCCTCAGTATAAAACCCCAGGGAGGGGAGGAAAAAGGAGGCAGGGAAACAGGGCTTGGGATGTAACAGTGGCAGAACTTGGCCATCATGACCCCAGCTGCAAGCTGGAGAAACGAGGCTGGGAACAGTGCCCTTGGGTCAGTCATGTGCTGCTGGCCACCAGAGGCTGGACACAATGTCACAGGGAGGTATGGCATTGTGGGGGAGCAGCAGAACAGGGAAATGACAGTAGCCTAAGGAGTTTGCTTGCAGACATGGCCACATGCTGCCAGTTTCTGTGCTGCAGGCTCCAATGAGACCAGCAGTGATGGGTCCCTCGTGTTCCTGCATCCTTTCATCTCAAGGATGCTGCCAGCTTCTGCCTTTGTGTGCGATGCCAGACTGATTAAGAAAACCCCAAACGTGCTTCCTCCTGAGAGCAGCCAAAAAACTGAGAACAGAACTCGATCCCAAGGTCAGGGAAAGGGGAACGAGAACTAAACAGGGTTCAGACAGGTACAAGGGGGTTGGAGTGCTGGGTAACCGCACAGTTTAGCATGAGAAATGCAGTAGTAGGTGTGATAGCAACAACTTTTAGACTTTCCTGAGCTCTGGGAAAAGTTTCCATGCTCTTGTGAGGATTTTAGGATGAAGCCCATGGGACCTGCCTGGCTGGGAAGGGGAAGCTGGATCTCCTCAGGTAGCGAGCTGAAATAGCTTAGGCTAAAGGATCAGCCCCTTGAGAACAGACCTGGCAAGAAAAGAGGAAGAATGTGGGGTTTTTGTCTTGTAGCTTCCTGCCAAAAACTGGCATAGCCATAAACATGAGTGCTGAACAATAAGGTCTCCTGTCCCAGCAGCTGCTAAAGTTGTCACCTGGGCAGCTTCCTGCAATCAGCCAGTGGCAGGACAAAAAGGAGCTCCCACATGCTTTCCTGCAATTTGTCATATATCTGATCTCTGTTCTGCTCAGTGCCTGTCATCCTCCCTTCCCCCAGAGCCATCTCACGCTCCAACAGGAGGATGTGATTATGAAGATCAACCTCTGGTGCAGAGCAGACTCATTGTTCAGCCTTGCTTCTCCAAGCAGCAAGAAGTGCTTCTCTTTATGGCTTCTGAATCACCCTATAGCCTCTCCTCAGAAAGTATTTCCCTTGGGCTGGTTCTGCAGGCACTGGGTGGATTTCCCTGTGCCTCAGAGATCCACAGCCCTCTGCAGATCCTTTCTGCCTGCCACGTGTTGAAGCTCCAGGCTTACGGTGACCAGAGTTGGCAGGACACTGCCACTGGCTTCTTTTTCAGACCACTGCACCTTTCCAAGGCGTTAATCTCTGGGTCTGAACAGTGCCATGCTGGATCTCTCTTCACGGGTAAGTATTTTTAGAAAGTTTGAGCTCAGACTATGCAGTCACTTGTGAGCTATGCCAGGACAAAAAGAAAACAACCACTTCTGCCTGAACAATACCAGCACAGAACAAAAAGCCACTGTAAATGAGGTTTTTCGGCATCACTCAAAACTAGCCAAGCTTTGAAAGATGAAACTTGCAGTAAAAAAAAAAAAAAATGAAAGAAAAAGGTTCCTAGTGAACAAATGAACAGAAAGGGCTTTGACAGTTTACTTAAAAAGCAAAATGATGTTATATAAATACCAGCGGGCATGCTGGAGCTTGCATCACTCCATCTCCATCCCGTGTGCTGTGACAGCCAGAGCAGGGCTGGGTTTGTTACCTGCTGCTGCCTGTGCCATGGCCCCGCGGGCAAAGCCACCTGCAGGGAGAGGAGCAGCGCAGTCCCTGCGCCCGCCCGCGGCTACGGGCACTGCGGAAAGCGCTATTGCCTCACGATGGAGCAAGACAGCAGCCCCGGGGGATGCGGCTCCTCTCCTTCCCGAGGCCATGAAGCTCCATGTGCAGAGCTGCCGGGACAAACCCCCTCTCACTGACAGCTGTGTGGGACTGGCATGGAGGAGCTGCAGCCACGCGGGTGACCAGAGGTCACCAGCTCTGGAAAACACCAAAATCTCTGCTGCATCTTGTGCCCCCCGGATGACTTGAAGTCAGTGTTTCTGAGGACTCTCACTGCAAAAATTTCCTGTTTTTCAGGAAATTGCTCAACCACTTGTCCCCTTGTAAGAGAGATGGAGCCCAGGGTGCCTTTAGCAGCACAGCGAAGAGAAGCATGTAGGGACTAAGGAAGGTACAGGGAGCTCAGCCTTGCCTTGGGTGGGAGCAGGCTGGCCCCTGTCCTTTTCTGTCAACAGCTGCAGCTGCTGGGGACATCTGTGAGTCACAGAAACTTCTGGCACTCTTCACAACAGAGAACCAGAGTATGGGAGTAGGTAAACATGGGTCTATACATATAGGGACCTTATTTCACAGACCTTATTTCATGCAGGTCATGGAGAGAAGCCATCAATTTTAGTGCATTTTTATTGTGGCTTTTGGATCATGAGAGCCTAGGAAGTCAGTGTGAGGTGGGAACTTGGGTGCTGCCTTGTTGCCTGCAGCTTCCAGCTGTCCTCCACCCTCAGGACACAGCTACAATGTCCCCCTCTGGCCTCTCCTTGTAGGATGTTTCCCTGTATCACTTCCCACCCTTGGGCAAGGGACCCTTTGCCACCAGGAAGGCAGCCACAGGGTTTTTCCTCACCCCATTCCCACTGGGATGTGGGCAGGCATTTTCAATCTCTCCCTATAGGCCTCTTGTTTTCACCCATTTGGCTCCTCTGGCCTAAGAAATTTGGGGTTTTTCCTGCTGCTTCTGCCTCCATCCTTCCCTGGCTGGCAGAATGCACAGAGAAAAAGCAACCAGGCACAGCTCCGCACAGCAGCCGCCCCCAAACTGCATCCAGCCTGTGGGCACCACTTTCCTGAGAGTTGCAGTCTTTGGTTTTTGCCTGCAAAAGGTTTTAAGGGGACAAGTGTTGCTGAAGTTACAGAGCTGCTGAGGCAGAGAAATGATGAAGGTCACAAAGGTACCCCGCATCCTTGAAAAGAGCAGAAGGACATGGCAGAACACCACCCCTGCGTGGTGATGGACAGTGTCCTGATTTGGACTGGGACAAATTAATTTTCTTCCTAGCAGCCAGTGCAGTGCTGTTTGTTGGATTTAGTATGAGAATAATGCTGATAACATACCAATGCTCTACTTTTTTCTAAGCAGTGCTCACTTTAAATAAAGGACTTTTCAGTTCCCTATGCTCTGCCAGTGAGGAGCTACACAAGAAGCTGGGAAGAAGCATGGCCGGTAGAACTGATCCGAACTGGCAAAAGGGATATTCCATGTCATAGGACATCATCCCCAGTATATAAACTGGTGGAGTTACCTGGAAGGAGCCAATCACTGCTCAGGGACAGGCTGGGCATCAATCAGCCAAACGGCGAGAAATTATATTGTGCATCACTTGTTTGTCTTGTGTTTTCTTTCTTTTTGTAGATTCCCTTTTCATTACAAGTATTTTTATGTTATTCTTATATTTTACTTTATTCAAATTATTAAACTGTTCCTGTCTCAACCTTTAGTTTTGCTTTTTCCCCCTGATTCTCCTCCCCATCCAACCAGGAGAGGTGTGAGTAAGCAGCTGCCTGGTACTTAGTTGTCAGCTGGGGTTAAACCACAGCTTGAGCCTGGGTGTGTTGCAGGGGCAGGTAAGGAGGACAAGCGACTGTGTAACAGGTGATCTCATCTGGTTTTGGTTTGGAAATAAAGCCTATGGTAGTTTTATCTTATCTTTTTATTGACTAGACTATTGCAGCTGCTGTTATTCTTTAACTTGCAGGAAACTCACAGCAAACACTTGCTGCCATTTAAGCAGTAGTTTTGAAGAACACTGAGCTTAACATTGCTGCTAACAGCCTTGCAGGGCTGGAGAATTTAACTGCTGATTCTGTCTGAATGCTGTAATTACTTGGATGAGAAAAATGAGGTGTGTGAGGGGAAGCTCAAAGTGATTAACAAATGTTCAGGCCAGCAGCCTGGATGGGCTGGTGAAAGGCCCTGCCTAAGGCAGCATCAGTGGGGGTCACTTCCCTGTCGACATGGAGCTGGTCTTTGTTTTCTTCTTTGCACAGGAGGAAAATAATAAATTTGATAAAGGATTTACTGGCCAGGTTGCCATGGTCAGACCTCACTGGAAACAAACTGGCCCAAACTATCCCCTTCAGAGGACCACATATACACAGCCCACTGTGTGCTGCAAGCCAAGCAACCTGAGTTTTCCATCCTCCACCAGCCCTTGAAGCTGGTCTTGGCATAGCACCTCTGCTAGAGAAGACAGCAAAGCTCTCCCTCCGTCCTTGCAGATTCACTATGAGCCAGAGCAGCTGGAGATTAACTTGGAGTCCAGCAGACAGGCACAAACATCTTGGGGAAAGGAGCAGCTGTGTTAGGGCTTGATACAAGTGTAAAGCCAACAGAAATGAATGGAAAAACTCCACTTGCCTGGAATCAGGCACCTTGGACAAGACTGTGAGGACAGAGGCACTGTGCCTGACCCTTGGGGGAACCTTGGCATTGGCTTCAAAACATGCATGGGGAAGAGATGTGGGCTTAGCTGAGTGTTGCTCCCCTTGGGAAGGCACTGACTGCCACGTTCTCTTAAAATAGAAACAAGGAACATTAAGAGCTGAGAAAGCTACTGTTAAATAGACAGGCTTGGGTAGGAGAGAGCAAATGCTTGACAGATCAGAGGAGGATGCAATGTGCTTAACTCCAAAAGGGAAAACAAACTTCATCCTCACTGGAGAAACATTCTCCCAGCTGACATGGAAAAAACAACTACTGCTGAGGAATTACCCGTTGCTTCAGATCCCTTCAATTGGGAAAGACCAACATCACATTCAGGTGGCATGAAAATTGCTGTGCAACCCCTCTTCAACCACTACATAAATACACTGCTGGCACTGCTTCCTGCTTGCACCTCCTGTTATTAACACCGCTGTGGGAATCCCTGAAGCCTTCCCCGCAGTTGGCAAAGAGGGAGCTGAATTAAAAACCTGGCAAAGAAAATACCCTTTTACTCTGAGTTCTGTCCTGTGGTGGAAACCTTGCAGGCTGCTTGAGGAATCTCAAGCTGTCCCCAAACCCCTCCTCCTACTGTCCACCTGTTACACTGTTCTGAAGGATTCACACAAGGCACCAACCCCATGGGTCTTCAGCATTTATCTCAAAGAAACAGTTGTGGCTTTCATATAATGCACCCTAAAGTGTGCTGGCACTTTAACAGCTGAGTGACACTTTAGCTCTGCTTTTCCTTAGAAGGAAGCAATAAAATAACTATTTTATACTGCCCCTTAATTACACAATGCAAAGTCACTGTGTTTTTTCCTGTTCTGTAGGATGGTAAGGCAAGAAAGTTGATTATTGTTGGGTATGTGACGCTGTTCCCATACTTTTCCTGCTTGTGCAGGAAAATGGAGAGTCTTTACTAGAAGTGTTTACTGAGCAGGAACACTGAAACTGCAGGGGAAATTGCCCAGCCTGAAACCTGAGGAGGTCAGGAGCACAGCCTCTGTGATCTCTGGAATAAAACGAAATGCCAGTTTTTATTGATTGTAACTGACCAACAGTTCTTTACCAGATTACATTCAAGTGACATCACCTCTAGCAGTGTGCCAGCGGTGAGATCAGCTCAGTCTGAAAGGGAGGCACCCACCTCAAGAGACCAGTACCACCTTGTGCTGTGGCCCTGGCTCCAGGGGGACAAAAGCAGGTGGGAGCAGTGATGTCAGCCAGCAGCACTGCAGTTGCAGCAGGACTTGGATCACTGCTCCCCTGGTTCCTTCAAAGGTCATAAATTGTTACTGCAGAGGTGCAGAAAAAGAATTACCTGGCTGCTCATATACCAGGAAGGTAAAATGGAGCAATGCCAAAGCAGATTTAAGACTGACTGAAGGAAACAGAAGCTATGGCAAAAAAAAAAAAAAGGCAAAAAAAAAAAGCAGCACGTACATAGTCATTAAGCATTTACAATGTTCTCATGCAGCTTAGATAAGCAAGCTGGAATTAAACAGTACAGCAGTCATCAGTGCTGGTGCTGTACTCTGCCTGCAAGCTCAGGAGGCTGGGAGCACTCAGAAGCCAGGTTGACAGGAAACAGGTGTATGTGAGGAGGAGGAAGAGGTTAGAAGGGCTGAAGGCTGCTCAGACAGAAGCCCACAGCCGGTACCCTTAGTCCAAAGGTCAGGGCAATTGAAGTCAAAAGGCTGCCTTCTGGCAGGGCTCACCCATGTGACCACATTTAATTATTCACAACAGGGAGAGGGAGGCACTCAGGCTCCACAGAGAGGGGAGGGGTGAGAAAAGCACAGGGGGAGTGAGCACAGCTCAGGTTCCTTGTGTGCAGTGAGCTGCTGCTCATCTGTGCATGAGAGGTGAGCCTTCCCTCTGGCCCCCAGGATCCAGCAGCACACAAAGGGGGTCCTACAGGTAGCACTGAAAGCCCCATGGAAGGAATCCCCTATTTTGTTTTCAGCACATTACCTTTTAGTAGGGATCAAGTCATAACCTGCACTTTCCCAACCCATCATTAGAAACTGTGCTGCTGATACTCCCAACTCACCTCTCTGGAAAGACAGATTTGTGAGAATCAAGTTTTATTCTCCTGGCTAGACAGCAGTGACTGAAAAAAGTTTTCTACTGCTGCAGACATACAAAAGGAGATCTATAAAATACTTCTCCCTATTTTCTCTCATTAGATTATGACAGGAGCCAATGGATTTGTGGAGGAGTTGTACCTGTCCCATCAATACAAGGACAGAGGAAGACAGAGACAGGTTTCACAGACAAGGCAGAGGCATTCTCAGCTTTAAAGGAACCCACCCAGGGCAGGTATGTACCATCATCTTGTAGGGAGCAGCTGTCCTCTGCTCTGGGCTATCAGATGTGAGGCAAAGACAAAAACATTCCTCCTGTTAGCAGCAGCAGCAGCTCTGCACGTCAGCTCTTGGCTGATAAACACAGGCTCCTAATTCCAGCCACATTCCCTGTTTTGAGAATAAGCAGCCCTGCTCCTCAGCGCCCTTTGCAACTACTGCTGCTCGTGAGAAGGGGGAGAAGGAGGGAAGGGTTACAACATTTTCCATCTCCTAAAAACACCAAAACAGAAGAAACCCCCGGGTTGTACAGGGCAGGCAATTGACTTGCCCTCGGCTCTCCCAGGCAAGGAATGCACAACATGGACGTGTCCAGAGGCAGAGGTACAGCCACCCTTTTACTTCAGGCTCCAATGAGTTTCTTGAGGAACGCCTCCAGCTGATCCTCGTCCTTTATGCCCACAAATTTATCCACAACGTCTCCGTTCTTCATAGCCAGCACAGTTGGCACTGCTGACACCTGGTTCAAGAGAAACAGGGAAACAGGTGAGCAAAGCCTGCAGGAAGCCACCTGCACCAGGTCTCCTAATGGAAGTGTAAGGAAGCAGTTACAAGGGAGCTGAGCATGCACTGCTCTGGAGTAAGATGTTCACTCACAAAACCGGCCAGCTGAGCTCTGCGTTCCCCCTCTCTGCCCTGATTTATACCACTCTATTTGAGATAAGGCTGAGCTGCTTTTTGAGTTTAAAAAAGACCCAAATTTTTAAAGACAAAACCACAGCTAATACAAAAACCATCTCCAGTACAAATGCTCCTCCTTCCCTTTTGTCCTATCATAAATGAACACGCCTAGGACACATCTCAGACATAATGACCTTTGGACATTTTATGGCCAGGGTAGCATCAGACTGGACCCACGTTCTTCTCCAGACAGGACTGGAACTCTAATCCTAACTCGCCCCACCACTGCACAGGCAGATTTCCTGCTCATATAATGGCAATGAAAATCCCCTCCAAGCCTTCTTCCTTTCCCCACTTCTGTTTTCCGTTATTTATCTGGTCACAAACCAGTGGTCATTCAGTGCAGACCCCTGACGATTAGGTAAGAAGTGAAAAGACCAGATCCAGCAGGCAGCTGTACTGCTCTGGGCACTGCTTTTTTAGCTCAGAACAAAGTTTGCTGGGAATTATCCAAGAGAACAGTGTTGGAAATGACAACACTCCCCAGGGACTTGCTGGTTGACTGGTGACAGCAGAAACCCCAGGGACATAAATGCAAGAAGGAACAACCAGAGCTTGGAGAGCTGCAGCAATGGAAGATCTGATCACATTTCTGACCCCACAGCTTATCTCTGCAAAGTCTTCCCCCCAAAACACATCCTGTCCTTATCTTGCCCGCTGACTCTCCTCCAGCCTGCAGGGCCTTCCCGTGTGCACTGCCAGCCCTGCTGCCAACAAAGATCTGTAAATCCCTCTGGAAACCCATCAGAGGGCTGACTTTTCTCCCAGTGGGAGCCTGAGATGAAAGGGACAGGCTGTCTTCCCTTCCCACCCGGTCCCAGCCAGGCAGTCCAGGTGGCTCCCCACAGTGTCCTTCAGGGCTTGTGCAGTCTCATCTGAAGGAATGGGAGCGTCAGGGCTGCTCAAGGCACAATCTTCAGCTCCTCCTAGTGACTGCAGGGAGCAGATCCAGAGGGCTTGGGCCTCAGCACCGGCGACGGTGCCAATACATTCCCTTGTGATTTTAGGGGAGAGAAAGGATGCACTGCACTCAGCTGCTCCGTCCCTGAGAAGGCAAATCTCCACTGAGGCTCCCTCTGGTTTGCACAGTGGGTTAATATCGAGCAGAGTTGCTCTAGTCACCCAAAAACCAAGAGCTGGCCCCTATTAGGGCTGGGGTGAGGAACAGGCAACTCTTGGAAGCTCTGCAGAGAAGCAGTCAACACCATGTTGCCAGGCCCTGCAGGCTGACCAGCGCATCCACGAGTTTCACATGGCCTTGACTCCACTGTCTCTTTTCCCTCTTTGTGCATGTGAGCAAATCCAAAGAAAGAGTGGAAGGTCTGGGGCTGGTGCTGCAGAGCCAGATGAGAACTGGGAGCGCAGAGCAACTTTCCTCTGCTCAGAAAACAGAATGTTTTTGTCAGCTTCCTTCCTGCCAGCTGCAGCAAGGGCAGCCTGTTAATGGAGCACATACTTTGTTTTGCTGGTTGAGAAGAAAATATCATGGGAATTTCTAGAATGCAAAGTTGAGGGCACTTTTTCTTTTTTTGGGTCCCATCTGCACTGAACTTAAACAAACTTTACTCCTCCCTGAAGAGCACTTCTACAGAAAAAATCAGTCTGCTTTTGATTAGTGTTGACCACACAGATAAATAAACAAACATGGCCATCCAGGTTATTCCTGGCAACACCTATTCCAAGGGAATTCTCTCCCATCTGAAACTTTTATCCAAGCTCAGATGCCACACAACAGAGCAGGGGGGAGGATTTCACCCAGACCTCTGAGTGAGGAGGTAACAGCATGGAGCTCCATTGATGAATGACCACCTCTGTACCCAGCAGCTCTCCTGAGCTGCCCACCCACAGTGGCCAGAGAAGGGGCTGCCCTTTCCTGGTCACCACACACAGAGGCAACTGGCTAAGGCAAGAGATGAATCTAAACAATTTTAAGAGACTGCTGATAAACAAAAGTATTTCTTCTCCCTTTCTGCTCTTGAGGTGAGAGGTCAGGAGCTGTCTGGAGCAGTGGAGAAAGGCCACAACCAGAGATGAAAGGTATTAGATAAAATGGGGAGTCCCCAGAGAAAACACTTTTGTGCTGGGCATAACAGGACAGGGAAGGGCATGGGGACATTCCTAGTTGCAGGAAATGCATCCGTGCTTTGTGCTAAGCTGGGATGGCTGAGAGCCAAGGGCTTGTATAAAGGAATGTGCCAACATTCCTCAGCTCTTCCAGGGGGTCTCCCCCTCCCACTGCCTCCCCCTGCACCAAGGAGGCTGCTGAAGAGGACATTGTGCAAGCAGGCAGCAAGCTGGGGGCTTCGTGTGTGAGTGGGCAGGGGAATAAACATGGATGGAGTGAGACTTCCTGGCAGCCAGTGAAGGAGTTGTGGGGGTGGCATGGACACTGAAAACGCCTAAACAAAGACTTCCTCAGCATGCAGACATCTGATCCCCTAAAGAATGGCTTTAAAACAAATGTTTTCTGACCCCCTCTAAACACCACCTGTGGTTTTCCTGATTTGTCACAAACACTCTATTTGGTCCCTCTTTGATCTCAACTTGGTGCCTTCCCATCCACCCTTACATTTCTCCTTACATGGCAACTTCCCAGAAGATGAAGCAAAACCAAGCACATGCTCAGCACATGAACAAAACTTCTGCCTCAGAAAGGATGCTCCAAACTATGAAGATCTGAGCAGAACATTCTCCTATCCCCCTACCTGTCTGCAGCTATGGTACTTGCAGACAGTCTAAGGACAGTGTTTTATCCATGGGGATAATGGCCAAGACAAGACACACACACATCACTCCAAAAGTGGAGGAGGGCCTCTTGCAAAAAAAAAACTTGATCATGTTTGCATATAAGGTTCCTGAATGAACTGCCAGAAGCTGACCCTCCACTGCAGCCTCAGTCCTACCTGCACACACACACAGCAGGCACGGCTCCCTCAGCACCCGTGGGAGAGGACACACAGCACGTCATCAAACCTCCACAACTTGGGACTTTCAGCCTCTTTTCACAGACCTTTCTCTGCATGCACACACCCTGCTCGTCATTTTCCACTCATCTGAGATTATCCTCTGCTAATCCCAGCTCATTCTATCTACTGGAAGGCTTGGAACAATATGTGACTTGAGCTAATAATCTATATTCTCTTCTCCTTAGCGTGGTTGCTGCCAGAGCTTTCCCTGCATCTGTTAGGATTTACACACTTTTAGATCATCACTAAAACCTCTTCAATCTCTTCAGCTCTCACCAGCACCCTCTGAGCTATGCAGCCTTTTGGGCTTGCAGCAGCCAGCCCTGCTCAGGAGCCAGCAGCCATCTTCCTTGGCCTGGGGTGTGTCTGCCAGCACACCTCCACCTTGGAGAGCACCGGAGGCTCTCGTGCTGAGCTTGTGGGAGCTGCAGGTCATGACTGTGGCCACCAGCTGTGTGGGCACACCACCACAGCACAGGCAGAAAGGTCTCCCTGGGGAAAGAGTGGGAGGGAACAAGCTGTTTCCACTTCTGTCTCCTTCTGGCTCAGCAGGGTGCAGGAATGGCATCTTCTCCATGCTCAACAAAATGACAGCTTGCTCAGGAGATGCTTCACACTTTTCAGGGCAGCTTGAGGAGCTTGCTGTGCTAGTTGTCACCCTGGGAGCAGGATTTCATCTGCAGAGGGGGAGCAGATCCATCTGCATGATACCCAAGCGAAAATGAAGCAGGTTTTTCCCCTATAAAATACAACAGCAGGATGCCCCAACTCCATGGGCAGAGTGGTTGTTTGCAAGGAGAGACAACAGAGGCAAGCATAGCCCTCAGAGGAGCTTTTGTGTTTCCTAAACTACCTAACCACTGACAGAGGGGACAAATAAATGAATCATGTAAACTAAAGTCATGGCCTTCTCCAGTCATTCCGCCCCCTCCTGGGAGAAAGGCAGCACAGGGAACACACCCAGCAGTAATGCCACACACTAGTGTAAGCACCAAGATCCTTCCCTTTCAGGAGCAGGATATATGCCTCTGTTGGTTTTGTTTTGACCTGGCTTCTACCTGTCCAAACAAAACTCTCTGTGTCTCCTTGTGCTGCAAGGATGGGGACGTTATGACCCAGCTCGAGATCCTGAGCAAGGAAGGGAAAGACAGGACAGGCTGGTTGCACAAAGAGCCACGTTCAGGAGCACGGCAGAGTGGGGCTTGTAACTTCACCATCTTGCACCTGAGCAGCCCCAGCAGGCAGCAAAATGCCATGTGTACTCCAGCCTCCTCGAGGCCAGGGAAGTCTTCACACTGACAGACACCTGCAAGGCCCAGAGACACCTCCCTGCAGAATGAGAGGTGGGGATGCTGGGCATGACCAGCAGAGCTGGAGCAGCACCAAGGAGCAAGATCCACCTACTGAGACAATGGATCAGGAACCTGCAGGCTCTGGGCTTCCCCTCCCCTCCAGTGCACAGCTCTGCCCAGGGAGGCACCTTTGCCCTGCCAGCCAAAGGAAGTCTGTGCCCTTCCACTCCTACCTCGTACTCGATAGCGAGGTCAGTGTGATCGTCAATGTCCACCTTGGCCATCAGCACCTTCCCCTCCTGCTTGGCCACCAGCTTCTCTAACCTGGGGCCCAGGATCTTGCAGGGACCACACCACCTGATGGAGCAGGAAAAGAGAGGGGACATTAGGAGAGGCAGGTGCAGCCATGGAAGGCATGCTGGTACACCAGTGCCTTTACCGCCACTGCTGTTCTTCCACTCAAGAGCCAGCCTGGAAATGCAATTCCTGAACCACGGCTTAGAAAAAAAACCACTTCTCTCATAAAGGAGCTGTCAAAGGTTAAGGAAGCTCTGAATCCAGTTTCAGACTTCAATGAATTGTCCTCTCCTCCCTGGATGATCCCAACTAATGCTCGCTTTGATTTGTCAGTTGGTTTATTTAGAACAGAAGTTTTTTGGCTGTTTTGTGTTCTGTTTGCCCCAAAATCAGCTGTAACAGGCTCACATAACAGTAACTGGAGGACTATGAAAATACATGAAAAACCCAAACATAATCAGCATTGTTAATAGAGCATATAGCATCCATCTAGGAATATTTTTACTGGCAGGTGAATGACAGCATTTTTATTGATGACAATTGCTGCAATTGGTGTCACATGGCTGTTATTAACACATTAAGACATTTGCTATAAAGAGCCTCAAAACCACATAGCTTTAAGAAACATGGAATGATACACCATAACAATGGTGAGGCACAACAAGTGCAGAGCTCTCCATGGCTGTTAACAAACTTTCATGTTTCTAAGAGGACATTGCATCCATGAAGCCAAATAGGGCAGATAGCAGAGCTTTTTCCTGAGGTATCTTTTGTAGGATGATGCAACACTGGGGCTGGAGTAACACCTGAGCACCTGTTAGGCAGCTATGCCACCCTGGGGAATGCCTTCCTGGCATCCTTCAACATCAGACTCCACAGCCTGGGAAGCCCTCAGGCATGTTCCTCCATGGTGAGCCGGGAGTGCCACCACATCAGGAAAGTCACAGGGACACTCCTGCACGGGTGATGGTGCAAGAGCCACGAGTGGAACTTACTGCGCGTGGAAGTCCACCACAACGGGCTTGGGGCTGTTCACCACCCGGTCCTGGAAGTCGCTGCCATCCTGCACGTTGAAAGTGCTCCTGCGGCCGGCAGAGGTGCCAAAGGCCCTGCCGTGGGGTGCCAGGGGCCCCCGCGCGGGGAGCGCCAGCAGCCGCTGCAGGGCCAGCCTCTGGGCCATCTGTGGGGACACTGCCTGGTGAGGAGGGGCACCGTGACCGAGTCCCCTCGGCAGGACAGCGCCCCGGAGGTGTCCAGGAGGGAGGCTTAGGGCTGTGCCGTGGCACTGCCTCCAGCCCCGCGCCCAGCCCCGGCCCGCTCTGCGGCTCCAGCCCAACGGGCACGGGCGCCCAGCGGGACCCCGCCTCCTCCCCGTTCACAGCGGGGCAGCTCAGGGCACAGGCCCCCGTTTCCCCCAGCCCGGCAGAGCAGAGCTGCCCCACCGCCCGCTCCTCGGCACCCACGGGGCAGAGCCAGGCCCGCCGCCATACCGCGGGGCTCCTTCAGCCCACGTCCCAACAGGTGGCACAGGGCCCCCGGCCTCCAGCCCCCAACCCTGCGGGGGAAAACAACCCCAGACGCCGGCGCCCCGTCGCTCCCCGAGCCCGAGGGCAGGGCCGGCAGGGCCCCGCTGCCCCGCGCACCTTGGCGGCGCGGAGGTGACCGCACACACGGAGCTCCGCCGCCTGCGCCGATTGGCCGCCGCCGCCGGAAGGCTGCTGCCAACGGGCCGGCCGCCTCCCGGCCGATTGGAGCGCCCGAAGCGCCGGCGCCGCTCATTGGCTGCCGCGCCTGTCCTTTGGGCCGCTTCGCCCCGCCCCTGGAGGGCTAGCGGGATGTGCCACGTGGGGTGAACCCTGGCTGCTGATTGGCGGCGCGGCACCGGTGCCGGTGCTGCTCCCGGTCCCTGTCCCGGTCCCTCCGGCTGGCGGCTCTCTTCAGCCTGAGGCTAGGCAAAGGGCTGCGAGCTTCACCTGCTTTAAGCCTTCCTGGAAGTGCACAGCTCTACAGTCCCCCAGACAGCAACTGGGGTAGGGCACCGGGATCAACCTGCACCCCGAGGCTTAGGGGTGACCACAGACCAGCGTGGCCCACGCCACCCTCTCCAGCTGCATGTGAACAGGCACTATCTTCCAGCAGCAGCATTGCCTGCATAGCCCAGCATTCTCATGAAAGCAAGAACTCCTCTGTCACTTCCGTGCCCTCTTCTGCTTCCCTGCCTCTCCAAGGAACTGGTGTTTTAGGGAAACAGCAGCTGATTAGGAGAGCTTTAGCTACATGTGAGATACAGCCCCCCTCAGTTTGGGACCAGTAGTGTGCATTTTTCAAGAAGCTAGAGAGTTGGAAAACATGTGGAGATAAAAGCCTGTTCCCTGTCACCCCTCCTCTATTTCCTAGAAATTACAGGGACATCATGAAGTCAAGTCAAAACTGCTCTTGCTTTGCAACTCCAGGTCCATGGAAGGGAGTCCACAGGGTTGTGACAGGCAAGTGTACATGGCTGACAAAGGGAGCAGCCAAGTGCAGGCAACCTCCCTGTCAGTCCCTCTAGGATCTCAAGGTGACAGGGAATAAAACAGAGTAAGAGCATTTTAGCAACATCAAACTTTCTTGATGGGTCATAGTGCAAATAGGAGAAATATTGGTCATGCTTTATAAAAGACAGGCTAACCTTCTAGGCTGCTTGGTGTGGGAGAAGAAAAACATGAGGACAGCAGATCCAAACTCCAAGTCTCTGTGTCCCAGGCATTCCAAGCAAGCTACTCATCTCTCTTGGAGGAAGGAGTCCCTTGTAGTGTTCTCTGGTAAATTATAAATTATCTGACCTATACAGTAACTAAAAAAGTCATCTTTCCCCATTCAAGCTATACAATTGCCCTAACTCAAATGCAGGAAGAATACCAGGAAGTTTGCCTGGAGTACCACTTCAGGATTCAATGCAGAAAGAAATCTTCAAGTATACACAGTGTACTGCATCCAGGGACCAGAGAGCCACAGGCTGTGAGCAGCCACCTCTGAAGGGGGACGTGACATCTGAAGTTTCCCAGGCATTCCTGTGCTCACTTCTGTGGCCTCTGCACGTCACTGCAGACACTGGTCAGTGAGACAAACACCAACACCATCTTCAGGCAACTCTGAACTCTGCAAGGACAACATGGGAACCTCGGCATCACTGGGTTTTGGTCCCTCAGTCCTTCAGAGTATGTTGGTCCTCTTTGTAACAGCAAGATCTGAGCAGGTCTTTGGCAACTCACGATCAGTGGGAGGCACGGGGATGGAAAAGTTTCACTGGAAAGGGCAGAATCCTGCTGTGGATCTCTGTTACAGTACTGTCACAAGAGCACCTATGGATTTCAGTGCTGAGCAAGAAAGGTTAAAGCTCATCCTTGGCATTAACAAGATGCTGCAGAGGACGGACTGGTATCCCATGATCGCTCATCAACTGCTGCTGTGACCCCTCGTGGCTGTCAGGGGCTCTGCCAGCCGAGGAGTCTGTGTGAGTGTAATCCTGGAGCAGCCCAGCCTGCAGCGCGTGCTGCCGGAGCTCCTGGCTCCCCAGCAGTCCCTGCATCCGAGCGTACCCCTGCTGGCAGGAGGGAGGCAGCTTCTGCTGGGTGAAGGCAAACAGGAAACAGGACTCTGCAGGGGAAAGGATCAAAAATTAGAGTCAGCAGAGATACCCTGTAGGGAAATACTCCCATAAACTATCAGGGACTTGTTCTAAACAAAGGGCAGAGAGGATGAGGGAAGATGGCTGGAGTTTCCCACCCGGCACCCTTCCCTGGGTGGCAGCACAGTAATTTATGTAATTCTGCAGAGCTCAGGAGATGCAGAGGGATCCCAGTCTGCACACTGAGAGAAAAAGGAGCTGGATTTGAGCTTGCATCCATCTGGCATCTTCATTGTGCTGTAAGATGGCTTCCCTATGTGTGCCACATGGGCATCCTGCAGGAGGGCCCCAGACCAACCAGTCTTAAGACCAGGAAGAGAAGCAGCAGAGGCTTTTCACCTCTCACATCACAGCACTCCCATTTCCCATGGGAAAGCAATCCAATCAGCAGTATGTGAGATCTAGTTCACAATCACACAAAGAAATGTTCAGATAATGAAGAAGAAAGGAAAGCTGCAGCAGGATTGAACCCAACCTAATATACTGTCTCTAAATGCTGGCATGCCTGGGCCAGTCTTCTTCTACTGGTGAACAAGAGCAAGGACTCTTTGGGAACATACACACAGAGCAGCACTTTGCACCATCTGGTGAGTGCACTGAGGAGGTGTGACTGACAGTGAGACAAGCAGCTCACCACAGGGAGATCTCAGCTATTTGCAGAAGAGATCACTCCTGTCACTTGTTCCTCACATTGCTCCTCCTCTTCCTGCCACTTTGACCTGTGCACAAATTACCTGCAAAGAAATTGCGCAGGTCGGTGCTGAGGCAGTTCTCCAAAAACCGCCTCAGTGGCAGGATGTGAGCATTTGGGGCTGTCCAGTCTGTCAGAAAGTCCTCCACAATGTGATGGATGGCATTTGGCAGGGGCAAAGGCCAGTCTGGGGGACGGAGTCTCATCTCACGCTCTGCCAAGAGAACATTAAGGGAGTCTCTTAGAAGCAAAATGGCATTAAAAAGAGCCTGGGGAGTGGAAAGCAGCTGTGACAGCTGTTTCTGCTTTTGTCCTGACCTTTTAATCCATTACTTTCATTTGCAATCCCCTCTGCTAGCTCTGTCCTCAACAGCCCTGCCACTGCACAGCTGCCCTCTGTCCCTGCCTGCAGCATTCCTGTCATTTCACTCCTGTTCCCCCTGGGCAGGGACTGCCAGATGGGCTACATTGTGTTTAATGCTGCTACCCATCATGCTGATTCCTGAGAAAGCAAGCTGGACCCTGACCCTAGGTTTCTGGAGATGAAGATTTCAACACACATTTCCCAAGGAAATCTACTCTAAGTCTGTTTGCTGCTGGATAGGACACTCCTCTTCAAGTCTTGCCTTTGGCTGCCTCTGTGTCTGTGTGACCTCTCAGACCAGGGCTTGCCAGAGAGCAGCTTTCTCTTGGCAGCAAGATGGCCAAACAACAACACCCTCATCTGTCAGGTTCTGCAAAATTCACACAGGGTGCCAGCCAAAGGGAAGAACTGTTCCTCTTTTTTGGGCATGGGGAAATTTCCAGTACGCCTGTTTGTTCCTATTTTCACATGTGAGGTCTCTGGTACAACCCCCCACCCCCTACATTAGTCTTGTCAACTCTCAGCTTCCTTTTCAGCTCATACAGTAGTGGGAGGTGTCTCACAGGAAGGGGGAATAGTGCTTTCAGGTACCACCCCCGCTCTAGCTCTGATTTATCTTTATCCCTCTTTGTTTTGGTTTTGTCACATAATTAGCCGGAAAGCTTACCTGTTGGGAGGTGTTTGTAATAGTAAATAACAGGGTGTAAAAAGTTGGACTGCCAGGCATGCTGTGCCTCTCCCACAGCACGGTTGTAGTAGAAGACATCCTTGTCAGCCCCAGAGAAATTCCTCCCATACTCCATGATGATGACAAAGAGCCCATTGCAAGCCTTTCTTCCCGTCTGCATTTCGAGCTCAGGCAGGACTCCAATAGGGTACTCTTCCAGGTATTCAAATGCTGTGGCATTCCTGTGAATTGAAAACACACCATCGGAATTTTCCAGAAAAAGCCAGCTGGGATCCAACCCACCCTCAGCTGGTCAAGGCTAAAGCCAGAAAGTCATCAGATAGTAATTCTGTTTGGTCATTACAAATCTGAGCTGGACTTGAAGCAGAACTTATAAAGGCTGCAGATACTGTTACAAGACACCATTGTTTTCCTGGATTATGGAATTCTCTCTGCAGTTGCACTGCTCAATGAAGTTTTTGCCTGAGGTCAGTAAAAGAGTACTACACCTCTGAGCCTAGAAGAAAGGTCTGGATCATTTCAGCCTTTTAAGGGGGAGAAACAGTCTGCACAATTGGGCTCCAGTTGCAGCAGTAACTTGCAGCAGGTTTGGGGTAGCTGCCTATGTGATGGTAACATCCTTAGGCAGGAACAGCACAACTGGTGTGGTGGCGACACGGGAAGCAATGGTAAAGAAACAGAAATGAAATCACAGAGTGCAGTGCTGGGAATAATTACTCACTCACTCTCTCAGCAGTATGATGTCAGCCAGGACACTGAACATCTGGTAGAGGCCTGAGGCCTCATTCACCCTCTTGATGATGGAATTGGTCAGCTGTGTAATAGGGTAGACTGTGGATGGCCAGGGGACACCATGGTGACGGTTTTCCAATAGGCGATGGACTGCCCGAGCTAAGACATGGAGAGAAACAAAGACAGCTTATTTAACAACACAAGCTTGTGCTGTAAGAAATCCAATCTCAGGGCTGCAGCAGGACTCAATAAACAACCTTTACAGCTCCTCCGTGCTCAGGATCTCCCACCCCAATCGCTGGTAACCGCAGTGGAGATGCCCTCGGAAAGCTGATGTGATGCTAAGTGGTGGGGGAGGGGCAGGGGGGTCCTCGGGGATATTTCATTACTTCTCGGCAGTCCTTTAATGATAAGGATGGGTACACACACTAAAGAAGGAAATTCTCTCTACTGCCCGCAGCTGCTGGGTTTTAACTCCACAGCACAGACCTCTCACCCACAGCCTGTCATGAGGCAGAACGTCTGGCAGGAAGAAATCTATTGTGTTACATAAGTAACAGACAACAGGCAGGAGAGACACAAGACAAAACAAAGATAGACAACTCAAAACTTCATATATGACCCCAAGTCACTTCTCCACTTCAGATGA